TATACACCAATGTCAATGTCAAGCTTGCCAGTAATAAGGAGAATCAGTTAAGGGTTGGGAGTTGAGTGCTTGAACCTACAATGTCTCAAATCCTACAGCCTTTTACTGTCTAAAGGCAATTGTGGGAAGGCAGTTACTCTCAATATTTAGATATAATCTTAAAGTAGAATTAAATCCCTCTAAAATGTTACAATGTAAGTTCCCAACCTCCAACCCCCCCCCTTTTGTTTAATATTTTAAGATTTTAAAGACGAAAAATTTCTTATAGAAGAGTGGGATAGGAGCTTAAGAACTATTAAGCTAAAGGTTTTAAGTTCTGTTTAATATCATAAATTATCAAATGAAAGGGTGGAGGTCGAGAGTTTTGTAGAAATATAGGGTGATTTAATTCTACTGTAAGAATTTTTTTGCTTTATTTATCTCATAATATTAAAAAAAATGGTGGAAGTTGGGAGTTTCACACTCTAGAATTTTTGGTTGGTTTAATTCTATTTTAAAGTTATATTTAAATATTAAGGGTAACTGCCTTCCCACAACTGTCTGGCGACAGTGAAAGGCAGTTGGAGTTGAGACATTGTGGGTTCATGTACTCAACTCCAAACACTTAACTGACTTTCCTTAGTTGCTGGTGAGCTTGACATCGGTGTTGAGATTTTGTCTGATAAATGGAATATTCCCAACACATTACGGTTCTATGGTTACAGACATTATCCATTATGACTTAAAGATGACAACAAGGACTGGTAATGGAAGAATAATTTTGAAATATGACTTCATTATAATGCTTTTGTCTGTATGAAGTTCATTATTGTTTTTAGTGCTGATTTTAATCGCCTATGGACAATTAATGTATTTTATAGTATTGGATTTATTGACTTGTATATATAATTTTCATAAAAAAATTGAACATCTCCATTAACACAAAAAAAGCTTAAAATATAAATATCATCCGATTTACTATTTTCACAGAGTCATACATGTTTCAGGTTTCACCCCTCATCAGTAACTCTGGACAAATTGGATCGTTACAAGAGTAAAATACATGTCAAAATACCAAACATACAAAAATAAAGTTTGCTTCAATCAATTTTATTTCTCTTACCAATTTAGTTTCTCTCTCAGCTAGAGAAGAATGCCCTGGTTCATACTCTGCTATACTTCGTGGCTGATTCTTGTATACTTCTGTAGAGGCTTTTGGTGAAGGTGGTGGCAAATATGGATTATTTCTGAAAGTTACAGAGTCAAACCAAGGTAAAGCTCTTACACTGAAAAATATCTTTATTAATAACCAATTGATATTCATTGATTTATTTGTTGTGTAACCATTACAAATGTTCATAAGGTGACAAAAATTTAACCTACTAAAACCAAACTATCTATAAAAAGAAATTTAAAAAAATCACCTAATTAGTCTGTAAAGTCTTAAATCTGACATTGATAAAGAGACAATTTCAATAAATTCATCTATTTTTGTCTTTTCAACCCTTTTGAGACCAAGCATTTTGTATTCCCAGGAATTGGGAAAATTAGGAAACTTAAAGAAATATGAAGTTTTATACCTGATTGATTTATTGTATATATTTTATTAAAGAAAAAAAAAAAGATGCTACAAACCATATGTCACTGGATTAAATGTGAATATGGTGTCAGTGAATAGAAACAGTGGCAAACCAAGTACACCTCTGGCTTATGGTAAGCAAGGGGTAAATATTAAAGGAGAAAACTTCTTTATTATCAGAATACTCTTTTCTGATCACACATGATTTCAAATTATATGGTAGCAAGGAATTTTAGTAAGCCTGAAAAAAGTTTTCAAATAGCTATCTCATATAATACAATGCATCATTTGGAATCACCATGCTGTTAATTCATTTTCACATACATTCCAACTAGTAATGTCATTACACTGCTAACAAACTGAAATTCTATCTTTAATAACATCTATCTACAAGTCCACTATGCTATTACTTCTACAAACAATTTATAATTTAATAACATACTTACTGATGGGTTGCATGTGGAAGAGTACGTGACTTTGATCCTAGACTGATCTCTCTGACTGGATGCCGTCTGTAATCAAGTGTGGCATACTTGGATCGATGGGAATATTCATCTAAATTAAGAAAAACAAAAAAACAATTCTATATTTCTATTTAACAGTGACAACACATTAGCAAGTGAATATCACATTATTATTTTATGAAGAGTACATAATTAATATGTTGTCATAATCATTTTAATTTAAAAAATGATATGAAGACTTCAGAAAATTATGGATTACAGTAAGGTTTCTTTGTTCCCTATTTTACACAGTGAAGTTCTTCAGAGAGTTTCTTGTACCATATTTACAAATATAAAGAGAACAAGATAAAAGACCAAATGTCACAGCCTTCAACTTTCATTTAGCATTATCTATGGAAACAGATTTTATTGCATCTGAAAGCACTGAGAAGTAAATTATAAAACATGTCTGGTCACAAAGTGAGAACATATTGAATATATTTTTTATTTTAAATGTTATTGGAAAGACGTTCACTGAAATATTAGTAAAGGAAGCTGATAGCATAATATTTATCTAGTGTTTCAATTTAATAAAATATTAAAATGTCTACAAAATCTGATGTACACTTGTTTGATTTCTATGCATACTATAAATGGCTGGTAAAGAACAAATACATGTATATTTCTAAAGATATTAATACTTACCTAATTTGTTTTTATCTATTTTAATATTTCAAATCCAAACTAGGATAAAGAAAAATATTAAGACTAAATTCACATGTGAGCTTGAAGAAATTTGCATCTTTCGCATAAACGAAACAAATGTGCATGTGAATTAAATGATATGTTGAATGGATTTAATTAATAAGAAGGGTTTCCTACACCTTTTCTTACTTATTCTCAATTGTTGCATCTCTACGAGATTCTGATGATCATATAAGAACAAAAGATAAAGTGACAGAAAAACATTAGACCCACCTAAACCACCTTCAAGAAAATAGCATAAAATAAACATATACAAAAAATTTAAAATTCTTTTAACAGCCAAACATGATATTGAACTTCTTATAAAAGAAATATTATACATAAAAATTATTCTCCTGTCCCTATATAACACAGTCTTCACTGGATTTAAACCTATTTTAACTATTTCACTTGTGCCTCAGTTTCCTTTATATTCATGTTATATTCGATTTGTTTATTTCCTATGTATAAAATTGAAAATAACGTAAGCTAACAACATACATTGCATCATTTAGTAAATCATTCCATAATTTTGTAAATTCTAGTGATAAAAAAAATATCTTGGTTGACAAACAATGCATGTCTGCATCTAGGCTTCCAAGCTTAAATCTATTGTTCTTATTATTCCAATTATAATGTCTAACCTCTTCATCAAACCACTCAATTAGACACCCCTAGGACGATTATTCAAACCACTTATATTAAATATCTGAATCAAATCACCTCTTTATTTTCTGTGCTACATAGAATACATGAATACTGTACTTAATTCCACTGCCAGGGTTTCCAATATAGTTTATACAAAAAAATAAGTGATTTCACCACACTATTTTTGCCAGTTCTTTACACCGAATGTTCTGAGAGGCAAACACATAAAATTATTAATTATGATAACATGTGTGGTTCCCACTGGTAGTGAACAGTATAACTAGCTTGGTAATTTGAGGATTAAATCAGGTAATATATAAGTAACCCATTTTTGTATTTTTTCTAACATACTGATGTCATTCCTGTATTGAGATGAAAAAAAAACAAAAAAACAGTACCCTAAAATGAAGTCTCTACAGAATATCATATGAAGTTAGATTCTTGCTCTTCAAGTTAAAAATTCCTATAAAGAGAAGCCAAAAACAATTTGATCTTTTTCACACTCAGCAAAGATTTATAGTTCTAATCACAGTCACACTTCAATCCTTCCTTTTTTTTTTTTTTTTTTTTTTATTTGCTCTTATAATAAGCGAGTCCTTCTGAAATTTTCATACCTCATCTGCATAACTTTACTTTTCTCAATACTAAACTTCATTTCAATATTCTTGTCAAAAGGCTGTCAAAGCGTTTTTGAATAAGAGAAGTATTATCAATAAAATTAGCTCTTTCCAAGAATTTTATTATCAAAAACAAAGTTGAAAATAACTACTAACTCATCATCAATCTTCGCTTTTTACCACTAAACCAATTTTTTTTTAACACTAGGTTTTCTACCAATTCTATAAAACCATTCAAATTACAAGTCAGATTTCTATGAGGTATCTCATCAATGGCTATTTATGGAAGTCAAGGTATATATCAACAAAGGTGCCTTATACAATAAAAAAAAAAACAACAGAAGTCCTATTGAAAAAAAAAAACACTTAACCAAAAACTTTTTTTTTTATAAACTATGTGAAAGTTTAATTAAATTCTAAAATTTTAAATGACTACTGACAATAGATTGTAAAACCTTTCTAACAACCCAAGTCTAACTATTACACAGGTTTATAATTTTCCTTTATCATCCCCTTGTCCATTTTATTCTAAAAATAGCAGTTACACTGACAATTTTTAAATCCTTAGAAACTATTTTAGTTTCAAAATACTTTTGACTAATAAAAGTTAATCAATTGGAATTTATCTCAGTAAGTTTTACATTAACTCACAAGAATCAACAACAAGAAGAAACATTTTTTTCATGAATTTGTCCAGCTTTACTACAATCTTGTAGTTAATTTTGTTGTCTAATTCAACCTTCATTATAATGAACTGTACAGTCACATAATTGTTGTTAAAATATTAAAGAAGCATTATTTGCTCAGTTCTGTCAGGCTTCATGAGCTCTAATGAACTATCCAGTTATGATATCAATAACCTTAAATACTTTGAAAACAAAATGCTTGGATACTTACCATCTCTGTCAAATTCTGGCTCCGACATGTAGCCACCAGCATGCGAGGTTTGACCTAGAATTCAATAAAATGTCTCCTCAACTATGCATTTATAATATCTGGTATATCTACCATACTTATTATCTCTAACCAAATGAAGAAGTAGAAAACAAATTACTTTTTTGAAGATTACAAATGTAATCATCATTAACATTATGAAAGCTTGTTATCCATATTATATATATAGTTAGACTTATAACTAAAAATTATGAATATATTTGAAGACTTTAAGCATTTATAATGCACTATTTATTTTTAATAACTGCAAATTCATGTACGCACATGCACAAAAGAACAAATTTCATGATTAAGGAAACTTTTTCTCATATTACAAATAAATACTGAGTAATTTTTAATGAATGAATAAATAAATATACAGGGTGGGTCAAAGTTGCTATATAGTTGATATATTTAGTGTTATATGGTTGGCACTAAGGAAAATATTATGAAGACAAAAGAAAGTAAACGAGATATTATTTGTGTCAGAGTAATAGTTAGCATTTGAACTATGTTCTAAATTAAACAACTGTATAGTCACTTTTACCCAAACCTGTATAAACATGCATAGATTAAAATTTATGGAAGCTATATTTAACAAAGATTTTTTAAAACAACTCAAGCTAAATAATCATAAACCTAAATAACATGTAGGCTGGTTAAACTGTTAAAGCCACTGCAAAACTTGCTTCAGGATTAAAATAATCATTAGTTTGTGATGCTGACTATTTTACACAAATAATGCACCAGCATTAAAAAGGAGCCAAACACAAAATAAAAATATTACACAGATAATTTTTAGAAATCTTTCCAAATATTTAAATTACTCTCTTTGTTTCAAAAAGTAAGCATGCAAAAGCATGTCATGTGTGTGTTTTTATATTGTGCTACATGCACTACTGGACTGCAATTTTCACAAAGTCCCGTAGTTACGAATTATTATGATTTTGAGTCCAGAGATTGAAGAATAATTTACTGTGCATGCATTTCATACCAATGCATTAATATAATGTGGTCTCCACATCACTACACAAATATAATCTACTGTACACTCCATAATATTATGTTAATAAACAGTGCATGAATTATAACATTTACATTTATACAAAATACAGCTCTGAGTTCTATTATGAAAGAACTACACAACAGCTCTATGGAGACCACTGAACATAAACTCTTAGACCAAAACACAATCTACAAGTTAGAATGGACCACTGAACAAACTCTTAAACCAAAACACAGTCTACAAGTTAGGATTCTAGTAGTTTCAATAAAGTGCATTCTACTAAGCTTCTCTATTTTAAATATAGAAACTTTAACACCAAAAGAGTGGGCAACCTGTTCTTTTCCTGTATCTCATAGTCATGAAATCATCTCCTGAAATGTAAAACAGGTTTTTGTTTTTTGCTGGTTTGACATTTTCAAACATTATACAACTATACTGTATTCTAAAACAAAAGGACATATAAATCAATGGTTTTCATGTGTATCAACCAGCCAGGAAGGTTAAAAAGTTAACCCATTCCACAAAGTCTATCACAAGTAAATCCATAATTATGCCTTCATGTGCACGTTTGCTAGTTATATTTGCATTAGATAACAAATGATTGCTGTATACATTCACAATACATATGAACATTACTTTCAGGGTTGTTTTACAGTGCAAGTATTGCAGCAGTATTTATGGAAGTGTAATTATAGAAGTATTTCTAATCAATAAATATGGCTTTTCTGGCAAATGTGACAACACAATACTTAAAAGCCTTTATCTTAAAGTTAATCTGCTCAATATTTGAAAAACTAATTTCACTAATGAAACAAACAAAAGCTAATCTTTTTTTTTTACAACTCTTTCAAAGTTCTATTATTGATACTTGTGACTATAGACAGAATGAACAAGTCAATATTTATACTAATCATTTCTTCTTGCTAAATATTTCAGTAAACCCATTCATATGAGATAGTTATAGGAACTTAATTATGTATAAAAGGAGACTGAGAGATAATGTATAATGCTAGGTAATATTTGACGAGACAAACAAATCTTATCAAAGAAATGAATAAAAATATACTTATGATTTTAAAACCAACAAATTACACACAATCCATTATATCTGTTATAAGACAATAGTTTTATGCTTATGGTATTATTTTTTTTAACACACACACACTCTTCTTCTTCTTGTAAAAACCCTAAGGGGCCAACTAAAGATTGTTTTGTGTTTAAAAAAAACAATAAGCTTAATACTATTTCTTATAACATAATATCTCATAAAATTTAAGTACAAGTGACTCATTGGTCAATCTAGGCAATCCCCTCCAACACCAGCAACAAAAAAAAAAGACTCAATGCCAGCCCTTTTTATTCTAATATTTATCAAGCCTTCCCTTAAATTTACTGCATTTACCAAATCTGAAACAGCTCATTCAAAAGACCAGCCACCCTGTTAGAAAAATAAAACAGTCTTAGTTGTAATGACTGCTACCCCTGTCAAAAGTTATATTTGTGTTCCATAGTTCTACCATTTTCAGCGTTAAGTATGAAAAAAGATGATGCAACAACACTACCAATTCCCTTAACAATCTTAAACACATCAATTATCTCCCTTCCAACATTTTTTTTTTCCCAAGGGAAAACAATTTCATAAATCTTAATCTATCCTCTTATGACAATCTTTTCATCCCAGGTATCATCATAGTAGCTCTCTGAACACTTTCCAATAATTCAATGTCCTTCTTAGGTAAGGAGCCCAAGAGTGAATACAATACTCTAAATGTGGCCTAACCAATGACACATACAATGAAATTATAAACTTTTTAGACTTGTATTCAATAATTTTGTAAATACAACTTTAAATCCAATTTTCCCTACCACTAGCAACAGCACACTGCTTGGATGGCTTATGAGACTAATAAACCAGAACATCACAATTATTTTCTTCCATAAAACTGTTAAGGTTATTTATATAACATTTTTACTAATAATTAAAATTATTATAACCCAAAAGCATTACTTTTTATTTATTAGAATTAAAATCCATCTTAATTTCCTTGCTGAGCTTGCTTTAGGATACTTGCATTACCTTTTGAGAGATGTACTGCTCCAGTCCTGCCTGACACTATGCTTGGAGCAGATTGAGATGGATGCAATGGATCAGCACTTAGGACTAGAAACAAGGACTTTGCAGTCCATTTTTTGCTTTACCAAGTCATTAACTACTTATAATCATGCTTTGCCAACAAAATGTATTCACATCATAACAAATGGCTTAAATAAATAGTATCCCAACTACTACTATGTTTGTTATAAACTAGCTGGCTTGATGAGCTCTGATATTGAGTAAAATACATTGTTGGCAATGGATATAACATATACAGTGTGGTTCAAATGCTATTCTACTCCGTTCTTCTCAGAGAAACTCATAGGTACCAAATAAAGAATCTACAGTTTAAAAAAGATACAGCAAGCCAAATACTGTTATATTATGACAAATATAATTGATTATAATAACAATCCATCAGCAATAGTCCTTTGCACCCTAACAGTACATGTAATCTAGTTTTATATACACTTTTATAATTAATTGAAGCACACGCTATACTTAGCATAACACTCATGTAAGTACAGAATAAACTTAAAGAAAGATATTATACAAATTTATTATTTTAATTTCACATGAGCTTTGATTATGTACAATATAGTGCCCAGAATATAATCTTGAACAATTTACCATATTTAATACTTAAATTAAAGCATTATATACTTACTTCAGAATATACACTTATTTTCTTTTGAAAAACACATGGTTTAACACATAAGCAAAAGGAGAAATATATGCTCATCTCAGCTATATTATTTATTTTACATTGAGTAAAATCATACATAATTAATTTACTTATTAATTTTCCTTTACTAATTCTTGTAGTAAAAATAACTGTTCAAAATGTTCCTGACAAGCATATATTAAGAGAGAGAGACATATTCCTCTAAGTTATATTTTACAGCAAATAATATCATAATTAAATAAATTTATTAATTTTTCCTTACTATTTATTGAAATAAAAAATAATAATTACATAAAAATATATTTTTGTGGTCCTGATAATTTAAATCAACACAACATAATTTAAACTTTCAACACTTAACATTTCACTTGAGAATTAAGAATTCAGTTTCTTCATTTCCCAGTTACAAAATATACCGATTGGATTAGTCATTATATCTTCATTATGATTACTGGTATATGCAATGTCTTTCAAAATATACTTAAAAAGATTTAATACCATTTCCTATAGAACACTGAATAATTTTTGACAGTGTGTCCTAATCCATACCAGAATATTTCATACAGAAAAAAAATAAAAAGATTTTATTGCATTGTTTGTTATCCTTCTATTTCTGTCAGTTTATTGAGTACTGTGTGTTTTATTTTCAACTTATTATTTTTTTCAATAATATAATATTTTTTTTTCCTTTATTCACATTTTTTACAAAGAGTGTCCAAAATGTCTAGAACCATAGGTGATTTGTAGTTTTCTTAATTTCAGACACCTGTCTGATTATGAAACTGTCATAGCATGAGAAGGTTGAGTTAATACTGCTGTGTGGCAAAGAAGGTTGCTGCATAATTTAATGAACACAATATAAGAAAAATATCACTCGCAATGTTGCGGGGAAGTTGCTAGCTATGTTTAAGGAGACTGGTAGTGTGGATAGTTGACACTGACACAAATATGCTTCGCAGTGTTAAAAGAGAATGGAAATACCATCTCCAAATTTGTTTTGAATTAGAAGGACAGCATGTGGAACACATTCTATAAAATCTTTTGAAGTGCCTATCATTCCAGACTTTTTGGACACCCTGTATGTATATATATATATATACACATATAAATACTTTAGATGTCAGTTATAACTAATGGCTCATCTTCGTAAATGCTTTGCACCACACTTTAATACATCTTGTATTTTTTTCCTGTATATATACACACATACACATTAAAAAACTTCAGATGTCGGTTATAACTAATAACTCATCTTCATAAATGCTTTGCACCACACTTTAATACATCATGTTTTTTTTTCCTGTATATATATACACCCATACACATATAAATACTTAGATGTCAGTTATAACTAATGGCTCATCTTCGTAAATGCTTTGCACCACACTTTAATACATCTTGTATTTTTTTCCTGTATATATATACACCCATACACATATAAATACTTTGAATGTCGGTTATAACTAATGGCTCATCTTCGTAAATGCTTTGCACCACACTTTAATACATCTTGTATTTTTTTCCTGTAGAAGGACACCTTTTGAACAGTTTTGAATAATTAGTAATTTTAGAAGGTATGCTTTTGAGTTAGTCATAACTGTGATATATATTTCTTTGTTTTCTTAAAATGTTACATAAATTTGTTTTTTCAAAGCAGTGTTACTCTATAACTTACTGTTTGGTTCTTCAGATTTGTGCAGCGATCGAAACATTGATTTGTACCAGTCACTGGCATGTTCCTTTTTCACATTCTATAGCAGTATGAATAGAAGAAAGAACAAAATGTGTAATATCATGAGTAAAAGGTAAAATATTTATAATAATTTCATAATAAAAATTCTAGATTACTCACAAAATAACATTTCGTAAACAATTTTCCCTCGTTACAATTTCACTGTTAGTGTGTGTGTGTTTAATAGCAAAGCCACATCGGCTATCTTCTGTGTTCACCGAGGAGAATAAAACCCGATTTGAGTGTTGTAAATCCATGGACTTACCACTGTCCCACTGGAGGACTTCACTGTCAGATAATTATATGTAATTAGTGATAAAATGTATAAATATTTGATTGTCACATGTAAGAAATAAAAATAATTTATCAATCAGTATTATTCAAATGAAAACATTTAGAAGGTTTATTGAGTAAACAAAGTTGTCAATATGAAATTTATTAAAACTAAAAGAGTTAAAAGGTAAAAAATACACGTTCAAATTGGCCAAAAGTGCTGTTAAGCATAAATTATCTATGAAAAAAAAAAGATTCATGCTGACTTTATTGAATTTAATGTGGCCAACAGTGATGGGCACTATACAAGAATGTGCATACTTCGGAAAGATTTGGAAATGAAAACCATACATGAATCACCCCCAAGAATGCCCAGCACCATTTTAACTGTGTAATACCTGTCATAACTGGAAACTGGACAATTAGTCACTCATCTTATAGTGATTAGAGCCTCTTCATCACTTTTAAAAGTAATGGATGAATATGGCTATGATTGTCTGTGCAGGATAGTGGTGGGTAATCACATTGACCAGAGGGGTCAAATTGTGAAATGTGTGCACATCTAAATTGTCTCGAATATCAAGAGATCTTAAATCAACATACAAAAATCATAAAGAACTGATCATTCAGCAAGCCGATGTGTTGTTCCAATGACATACTACTGCTGGCCACAGAGCACGTAAATGGTCATGCTTAAGCAATATTCTATATTCTTCAACACTGAAAAACATTTTCTATGCTTACATACCAAACTACTTAAACTTTTGTTTATTTATACCTCTACATCTGTGATTGACAATGACTGATAGGACTTGGGAAGTAACCAGCTGGATGATTTCAAGCTTATAATTTGACAGGTTAGACTACTGCATTTCACTCTACATCAAAAACACGGTTTTGAAAAGAAACAGAGACAAATTGCACTAGAAACCCGGCAGAACTTTACGTAGAATCTGAATTTTCATACTTCTAACTAGGAACTAGATATTATATGGTTAAAACTCACTGCAGCTGGGATTTATATTTCCCAGTGCACTGGGAAATATGTCCCAGCCCACAACAAAAGGGTTAAATGTCCTTTTACTTTTAACTAGGTAATACACTGTATGGTTAAATAACTTATTTATGAAGTACATTAAGTGTATATTTAAGTTTTACTTACAGTTCTTAGTCCAACTGGAATTCCCTTTTCTAGTGGGCCAATAAATTCATACTTTGAAGGAGCTTTAATATTTACTGTAGTTGAAGTTACTTCTTGTGTTGGGATTCCATAATAACTATCAGTATGAATCTTGTCTCCTTCTATTATAACTTTCTGATCTATCAGCACTGCATCCTTGGGAAGTTCTTCTTCTTCTTCTATAGAATACACATTCTAATCAACAAATAACTGAAAATATTCTAAACTGTATACCATTAAGCTTACTAGTTCTTACATACTTTGCTATTAGTATATTTTAAATAATGTACCTTGAAACAAAATCTCATGGAATGCCCCTATAATTAATTACAATCATTGATAAAAACATGGCATTTACCAATTAATGTATAAGTAAAAGCTTGGAAAAGTTTCCATTTTCTACACATAATCAATAGGCACACACATTAAAAACTAACAGTTTGTGAAACTTCTATATAACAAAGTGGGTAAAATTAAATTAACTGTTCTAACATTCATATTAGAAACTTTCATATCAACACTTACTTTAAAAACTTGCATATCTAATACATTTAATCAATCAAAATTCACAAAAACTAAAATTGTTTTAATTTATTTAAACAGATTATTCATTAAAGTAATTTTTAATGAATTACTACTTATCAGAAGACTAAAACTGACCAAAAAAATTCCTTAAGATGTGTTATTTTCATACCTTTGGAATTTAACTTGTGATCTATGTAAATTGCTCCACGAGGCATATGTCCTAAGAAAACAAAAATAGTAGCTATGTACCATACTCATGCATATCAAAAATAAAAAGGAACAACATTAACTTTGTAGATTCTAAATAGTAAACTTGTAAACTCTTGATAACAAAAACAGATTAGGCATAAGAAATGTCAAACGAAGCTAACAATTAATAAAATTATATAAATTTCTGTAAAGCATACAATATTCAAAACAGTTTTTGAAGTTGAAATTCTAAGCATATTTCATATGACAAAAGCAATCTGAAATTTAATAATCACTGAAATATAAGAGAAAACTCAAAGATACTCATTAATTTGAACTTTTAATAAGTGTGTAAAAATTCCAATAATAAATACTTATATAGCAGTCAAAAATACTTTGATATATACATGTTACTAACAAATGTAATTTAATATTCCAGTAAATATTTAAGAAAATTCTTTCTTTTGAATAAATGTATTTGATACAATATTGAATAAGATAGTTACTGAATCATATAATGTGTTGAGTTGTGTTATATATTCCAAAAGCATTGTCAAATACACTTAATTCTAAGAATGACTTAAGTTAGATAAACTTAGGTTTATCTGATTTTTTAATGTACTAGCCACTTCATAACACAAATGAAATACACACATGCATTTTTTTAAATTTCTTAACCATTCTGAACATTTTTCTGTGATGGAAGAACAAGTTAAATCATTGTCTTCTAAACTTCTCCACTACTAATAGTAGAGAGCTCAAGGTTGTATAAAAGTTTAATAACAAAAATTACTTTTTATTATTGAAATGTATAACTAGCATCCTAATTGCCCCATCTTTATTACAGCAAATTAGAAGACTAAAATATTTAACTCTGATCACACTTACATACTTTTTTCTTAATTGTAGCAACATCATTTCTTTATCTAATCAATGACATTTGTATAACATGCATTATACTAATTTGTGAGCATGACTGTATGCTCTACAAGTTTAAAGCATGTTTTCTAAACTTTAACATAAGACTGATATGTTTTTGTAGACATACCCATAGGTTTATTATACGAAATGCCTGCTGGATCTTGGAAATAATGTAACTGGCTGGAGTTGCCCGTCTGTGGTTCACTCTTATTAGTTAATGGAAAGGGATTCTGTAGATCTTTTTCCCTACTTGGATCATTTTCTTGGTTTGTGGAACTGTTAACAGTTGGCAAAGAACTTTGAGGGTTTTGAGGAGCCTTCCATGCAAAGGTTTCTTCTGGTGTAAAATACTTTTGATGTGTTTCCTGTAATGTTCAATTAAGAAATATATTTTATAAATATCGCACAACTACACTTAAAGAGGTTTTTTTTTATATATATGTATTAAATAAATACACAAGAATCCTTAAGATAATTTAATATTACTTAACTTATAAATATTTTAGTTGACTAATAAAGTATTGCACAAAATTTTGAATCCTTATCTAGTTTTATACTAAAAATGTCAAATCTATCATTGCTGGAACAATCAACAATTTATCTAAAACAAACTTCCACCAAAGATAAAAACTAGCAATGTACCATATAATGATTGAGTATCAAAATATTCTTTTATGACAATCCTGTCTAGTTTACAGTTTCTTTTGTCATGTTTCTAGAAGTTTAAAATTCTATAATGCTAACAATTTTCTTAATTTTACAGAAAATATTATCTCAAATGAGCCTAGCATGGCCTGGTGGTTAGGGCACTCCACTCGCAATCTGATGGTCATGAATTCGAATCCCCATCATTGAAAATGCTCCTCCTATATGGTTGCTTACTGGACCAGCTACCCAGATGTAAAAATTCTTGACTTAAAAAATTAACAGCCAACCCCAAAACCCAAATGAGAAACCCTCCAAAAAAAGAAATACTCAAATTTAATCACACAATACGAGAGACAAATATTTAGATATTCTCATTCAATAAAAGATTTATTCCATGCATGATTCTAGGCAAAATTTATATCCCTATATGCATAATACAATGAAAAGTAAATTATTAATTATCTGTCACATATTACTTAATACACTGTATTCTATATACAGTTCTTAAGTTTTTATATGCAGAGATATAAGAATCCAGTCATAAATATAAAACACAAAAATCCAAATTAAAAATTAGGGTCAGGTTTGAGAAAATAACGAAAGATAAAAAGATATGATAGTTGTACAGGGTGGATAATTTAAGAATTATAAACATGATTCAAAATATATTGCAATCTTTATGATTAGTTCTCTAATAATATTCAAATAAAGTTGTAACTATAGGATAACAAGCTCTATCAGGTATTTAAAAAAATTGAAGCATTAGGAATTTCAATTACCTTTCAGATAATTCTTATGTAGTGATATAAGCACTGGTGACCAACATATAAGTGGAAGAATTATTTTGCATAAGCTTAGAATGTGTGGTATAAATGATATATACTTAAACAATTATTCAAGATACATGACTTCATTACAGTAATAACTTCTAGCTTTTATTGGTGGAAATATATGGAAAGATTCCCACCATAATTCAAACATCTGTATTTATTTATAAATTAAGGTGTTGAATAATGAGCAGTCATAAAAGCAAATTTTAGAGTACAACCCTTTAATTTTATGCAATGACTTTCACAAACACAACCATGATTTAGTCAACAGCAAACACCAGGTCTTTTCGTGTAAACATTTTTATTGTTACATTGATAAAAAAAAAAATTATTAACGAAAAATAAGCAAAACAATCACAGTTACACAATCACTATATACTCTGACCTATAAAGATTTTAACGTTACTACCACTGTATCAGAGCTGTCCTGCACATAACTTTAAATATATATATATTTTTAACAAGAATATGCAACTATAGAAAGAAAAAGTACGTATTTATTACAAATTATTATTCACCCATCATTACATCGCCAATAGTAAAAATCAATTTAAATATCCATTAGAATTCCAGTTTTAGTCAAACAAATCTTATTAACCAATAATAATAATAATTTGTTTCCACTGTAAACAACTGCTGATGATAAAAATATCGGTATGACTATTATAACTTATATTGACATTACACTTTTGCAGAATAAAAGTCCTAGCGTTAGAATAGAATTCCAGTTCCAGAGCTAAACTGAGTAAACCAAGTTGTAATTTTACAACTTAGAAGTTCTAATTAAAGGATCTGTAAATACAAAGTAGTAAACAATTCTTAACAGTTATTCTATTATATAGTACAATGCGTATATAACACATTACCTTAGCTTTAGGATTTTTGTTTTGAACATCTTCGCCAACGTTTAGCCTCACACTTCTAAGCTGAGGCGGAAGTGTAGGCCCGCTACGCTCTTCAAACCGCTCCTGATCATGTGCTTTGCGTTGATTAGTTTCCATAGTATTTTGGGGTGAACGTCCTGGCATCCAAACTGTTTCGCCAGAGAGAGAAGAAAATTTTATTAACGTCAAACATAGTTATTTATCAAATTATAACACATTACTTTGTAATATAATGAAAAGTATGTTTTAATATTCATAAGAAAACACAAAAGTAAAAAAAAAAAAGCAGAACTATATGAAATATCTACCCCCTAACAACAACCAATGTCAAAGAAAAAAGAGGTCACGTGACTATCCATGCCGAAAGAGACCATCAATCACATCAGCTGTTTTTGGTTGACAGAGGTCAAGAAGAGTTTGAAGGGCTTTGAAATGTTTCTGTGAAACAGAACAGTCGGAAAAATTAAACATGTTAACATGAGCCTCAACCAAACATCTATCCTCCAAGTAATAACTGCACATCAGGCTCCCGTTTGTTCTGTGTTGAATTAGTCCAAAAAATAACAGGTGATGAAGCCACATCTATATTTAAATTTGCCGATGACGATTATGCCTTCCGATACGGGGTTTTCTTTTATGCATCTTCTGCATGTGTATCTACATAAATAATACCCTTGCGTTTGTCTGTCCGGAACGTTTCTCGCAAATTTCTTGATCAAACACTACAAATTTCATATCGTTAAAAAAGACTTTGTCCGAGGAGTCCGAATTGCATAGTGGCCTTTCCATTCAGAATCACCTTACCTTTTTTGCTTAGTCAAATTTTTTTATTCAACGAGTATGCTATACGACGGCACAATGACATTGTCATCACGTGACGAATGGCTTCGATTTCAACTTTAGTTTTTCTATTTGCAAAGTACTTCACACAAACAACAGTTAACCCGCATATAATTTCTGTAAAATTAAACATTACACTAAATACAATTGCTTTTGGCCTTCTCGACTTATTTAGGTCTAAAATACATATGCACAGTTCGTTCAAAATCATATGCTTATCACTTTGTGACACACACGCAGACGCTTCTGCGTAATCAGCTAAGTTTGCCTTCATTAAAACTTTCAATTTACTTTACTTCGCAATAATTTAGCTTCGTTTCGTTTCATAGACTGCTATAAATACCTTTTATTTACTTTTTTTTAGTACGGGTTTTATTCTTCGTTTTTGTGAGTTTCTTTGTTTCAACTCATAAAGTGTCATACACTGAACACTCATAACGGTTTCATACTGTGTACTTTATTATGAACAGCATTACTATACTTTATAGTTTACTTTATGTGTAGTTTTATAACATAAAGTTACGTCTACGTGAATTTGTTTGTATGATCGCGTATTTTTTTTCAAATAGAACAGAATTTATCGATCTAATACCTAATGCCTGCATGAAACCATAGCTTAAATGCCGTGCTTGAAAAATTATAAAAATAAAGGAAAATTCAAGCAAAGGGCATGAACACTACCGCGAATGCCCTGCAGTTCGCGGCTAGTATGTATACTAAGTCAAGGCAGAAGATCTGTAGTGATGTTTCCTACTATAAGCAATAACTAGCGGTCTTTTTGTCAACTTTGGTGGGAGTTTTATTTAACGTATTAAGCTGTGTTTTATGTAAACCGAATTTTCATGTACTTCTTTTGAACTAAACGCTACAAACAGCGACTGACCCACCTGTCATTTATTAAGTTTCAAAAAATAGTATGACATCCTCGTATATGGTCAGGCGTGGCTTAGTGGTTAATGTGCCATACTGTGGATTCCAAAGCCTAAGGTTCTACTTGCAATATGCTCTTCAACATGTTCTGTCTTTCAGCTCTGAGGACGTTATAACTGTGACAATCAATCTGGTTACACTTCTTTAAGTCAGGAGAGTCATGTGAATTTACATTTACTATACTGATGTAAACTTTATACACACACATGTAAAAAAAACGAAAGTTTTCTTAGGCTAACCATAATCCACAAAGTATTCATTTTTATGTACATAAATAATACCAGGCATCTAGACCTAGAAATTCAAACGTGATATACAATATATTTGAGTTTTTTACAGATGCTATGGAGAGACCTTACTAAGAGAAAATGCACGTTTCTACTTACTCAGTGATTTCTCGAACTTCTTGAAGTTCCGTACACAAATAGACTACCAACTTATTACGCTCGCGAAGCTACCAAGGGCAGCTAGCTACATGAACTTAAAAAAATGAATTGATCCAAGTTCGTTATATCTACGTATAGTGTCTCAATATTTGTACAAAGAGATGAGAAATGTTTCGTTGATACATTAGCTTCAGCACAAAAGGTAAAATAAATCCATATTAGATAGATAACAATGTTTTCATCTCTGAGCTAGTTGTATGTGGTTTGATATATATCCTTCTACATGAAAATAACGTAGATAAGACCTAAATGGTATTCGTAGCATACGAGGTTCAGTATGTTATATTCAAACAATTCTGGAGCCTCACCACGTCGTTACAGTAATGTGCCACATTTAGTCACGCTATATCTAACGACGGTGCCACTTGACAATAGCCCTGCTGAGTAGTTTACATCGTAAAAGGCTCCGTAATAAAGCTGTCATATTCAAGGCACACCTATTCTCTATAGCAGTGGTTCCAAACTATTTTTCTCTTTGCAAACCCCTTGAGTAATAATAGTTTGCGCAGCGAACCCCCTTTGAAGCAGTAATAAATTTTGTAAAATAAAATAACTTTTGAACGTGTTGAATTTATTGAAATTAAAAAGTTTCTGTAGCGCATAATATGTAACATTTCAAATAAAATATGAATCTCTGATATTGTCATCAGTTTGTAGTTAGTACCCAGTAAAATTGAAATACAATTCTTGAAACATAATAAAACATAAAAACGTGGGAACCATCAATAACTGCGGCACTTGAAATTCTTTTAGGGAGGATTAGAGTAAATCCCTCTGTGTAACCTTTGTTTCCCTTTTTATTAACTATATTTTTGTGCGCCAGCAATACCAAGTGTGAGACACGCGTATACCCGATTCGATTTTATTACTCATCAGGATCTCAACCAGCCTACCCTCAAATTGAAATTATTTTAAGCATGATTAGAATAAACTAAGCTCTTGGGCGTGTTCAAATAAATCAATCGAAAGGGTTTGACCTCCTGAGTCGAAAACTGTAATTAGATCTCAAATCGGACAAGAGATGACGGAGCTATGAGCTAAAAGTTTGTACTTGTATAATAATAATAAACAACCTCAGAGCCGTTCTATGAGCCGCTTAACTACGGCTAAAAATTGAAAAACAAAAACAAAAAACATTTAACTAAAACTAATGAGAATTCTGAGCTTGTTTTGAAGAACACAGTGCTTTAAATTTCGGGTCAACAGAAGAGAGATATACTCTTAAATTTGGCTCTGCATCAAGATATTTCCTACCGTAAATATTTTAATAAATTAGAAGGAAATTAAAATATTGGTAAGAACTGTAGAACCAGGAAAATAAAAGGGACGCCATTACCAAATAATTCACGCGAACGCCTTAGAATTATCCCTCGAACCCCTCTAGCGTACACGAATGACACTTTTGCAACGCTTTTCAACAGCTCGATCACATAGAAAGCCATGGGTGCTGAGTCCAGCGACTTGACCAACATGTTTTCGTATGATGTTACATGAATACTCATTTCATTCAATAGTTGCATGAGATCTGTTGAATGAATATGTCTGGAGGCAATTTCTTTACAAGATTATTCTTGATTATATTGAGTACTATTGCCTGTGGCACGTGAACAGCTTTTGCCTCTGACTTTTGTGTTCGTAGATTTTCACCTGTTGTACTTTGTTTACCATGACTAGAGTACGATTTCTTGCAGATCTCTTTCCTGGTTCTCCAAACCGATCAATGTTCCTTTGTTTTCCAATGTCATTAAGTATAAGGAGTATCCCCGTCTTGGAAATTCTAAATCCTTGATCTGAACACATCTTTATGACCTGAATATACGAGTATTTTGCATCTGAAAAAACTGTTACATACCATTTCAAAAGCGATTAATTTTCGATGACGTCACACTGCCTACATAACGCGCCAAACAATGTCAAAATGTAGTTCTGATATATTTCGTTTCATCGCGACTTTGTTATCACATGATTTGCTTATTTGGATATTCAAAACGTGTTGATATAATATACTCAACTCTCGGCACATGTCGAGAAGACACCCATAAACATGTTTAATACAAAAGTATATCACTACTTTTAGTCTTATTAAGCCTAAACAAAGCAGCATATGGCAGAAGATTGCGCTATTATTATAATCTAGAGGCTAAGAAATTACAAATGTTTTTACCAAATTGGTTAACTAAGACATAATTTTTAACCAGAAGCTATGTAACAACATTATTTTAATTCATTAAAAACACCCACTTAAATAAACATCCTTTTGTTAAAGAGGAAGAAAACATCAAAATTTGTGTTTACTTGTGGAGTAGGTACATCACGTCAATTTGATTAATTTGACGTTTTTTCAGGTAAAATTTAAGATTGTATGTAAAAACTTGATTTTGTTTTTCAAAAAGCACTTTATAGTAAATATTATATTATAAAAAACTAATTTATTGCTTTTTCAATACATCTTCTTGTACGGATCATGATAAGTTGGATGGTTAGGGGGCCACAGGGTTCGTGTATTTTAAGAATTAAGCTTCCGTCGGGCTATATTTGGACTGGTAGAGAACACTCTTAACGGACTCTTAACCTTGAGGACTCAGTTTTTGAAGCTGTCTTATCTCCGCCTACGACAGAGGGTGAAATAGGGTCTGTACCTACTAACAGTGAGATGACATAACAAATATTCATTGATTTATACAGTACGATATAGGAATGGATTTTTCGAGTACATAACATAGGTTTGTAACACAAGTACATACTCCAATATAAACCCAATCATTTATGTAAAGCCATGTTTCTTTAATTATGCATATACGTATATGTGGATAGTTAGTTTTATAAATCTTCCTATCTGCTTAGAATTTTTGCGCAAAGTTACGAACATGATATATGTTCATAACCGTTCCTAGTTTTGAATTGGCGGACTAAAAGAAAGTCAGCTTGTCGACATTGTTCACCGCCAACTCTAAGATGCTCTTATCTGACTAGATAGTGATATTTTCCGTCGCTCTTATAACACACCCGCGCCCCCAAAGTATAAAGCACGATTTTTCCTCATATATTTCTTCAGTAACAAGATGCGAACGTTTAACCCCCAGATCCATAGTCTGAACGCTAACCAAAGGGCCACAGTCTACCCTAGATAAGGTTTATACTAAGTTTTATATGCCATGTTATCCTGCAGGCTTCTAAGTGCACAAAATAACAAATTCCTCAGATTTTATTTTAAAACTGCTTTGTATATAACGCTTTACTTATGTGACCAGTGTAATGAAAATCCTACTGGTTTCAAAGGACAAAATAACAAATTGGCTAAATCTTATATTTTATTTTACAATTGCTTTCTAAATAATGATTTATTTATGTGACTAATGTAATGAAATACTTAGGAGCTTTACAACATTACATACTTAATGTTGTTGTGTAATATGATTGTAGCTGCTATATAATTGGACAAAAGCTCTAGATTTGTGAAATATACCGTGTCAGTATTCGTGACACTAGAATATTAAATTGTGTAACATTCTATTACATACATATGCTTGTGTCTACGTATGCACAAACACGTAGTAATTAAGAATTGCAATTCTAACGTACACATACCTCTACCTATAATACATTGAAGGACTTCAATCTTGATTTCTCTAACGTCAGTAGAAAAAAAATAATAATTTTCAAGATATCTGTAACTGAGCTTGGACTGACAAATAAGCAGTTAACTGCCATTTTAATAGTAAATGTAAAATTGTATTGTACTTATTTGATGAAAATAATCTTAAAAAAAGATTGAATTTCTAATACCATAGGGTATCATTATAGAAACCACATTTATTGTTTTGTCCGTCTTTTTTCCTTGTTGATGGATCTCTGGAAAGGTCAGTACCTTATACATGTTCATTTATTTATATTATACTATTAAATAGTGTTAGTTACATTTATTGCTCTAGTATTCATGAACTTGTTTTCAATTTTCCAAAGTCCTGTACTTTGTCTTAATTTACTTCCCGTATCACAGTGACCTTTTATATTATATGTACATTTTGGCTTCATATCGGTCTCAAAGAAACGGCAACAAAAAATTGAGAAATGTTAATCCTCCTACGTGTTTGTTCATTTTTTTCTTTTAAATGATCCTATATCTGTAAGTTGAATTAAGTGATGCTCAAGAGATGCTACCATGTGAAATATGATCTCAGGAAGAATGTTTTGTTCACAAATATACAACTTTGGATATACAAACACATGCAAACATTAGAATATACAGCTTGCAAAGAGGTTAATAACTATAATGTGGGCAATTATGTCTGCGTAAGTACCTAATTTACTTTTTAATGGTGCTCTCTAAGGGTTATGATGTCAATATTGTACATTTTTCTTGGTGGGCATTATCGTTGCATTTTGTTTTTTAGCGTAATACATTGTAATTGCTAATAAATATTAAAAACGTTTTTAAAAAATCTAAAAGTTATCTTAATATTCTTAAATTTGTATAAATTTATACCTAAATCTCCACTTTCGAGTTAACAGGCTTCCCCAAGAGAATTAAGTTAACTTTGTCCTATACAGTATCAGTAACAATTATATGTTATACAGTCACATTACTTTAAATTTAGATTTAATCTAATACAAAACCATTCATCCTTTGCAACAACAATAATTTAGTCTACGTGCCAGATCTATAAAATAAATTTCGTATGTAAACAGAGTAGTACAACTCACTACAGGATGAAAAACAGGGTATACGAAAGGATTTAGGGGATTTACACAGCTTTATTTTTTTAAGGTACTCAAGCTAAGGTCCAATTCTCATAAGCTCACCATCCACATAATCGTAATGTTAATGTTCAGTTAAGTCAGCTTTTATAAAGAAAAAAAATACACACTTGCATGAAACATAAAACACAAATTATTCTATGAGCGAGAAACTAGTTGATTAATTCTTTCGATCTTTTATTTTTCCCATGTGTTATCTAACATCAGCTGTTTTAAGGTTTCCCTTGAACAGACGTTATAAATAGTCTATAGGGTTTTAAATTACATTCTGTTTAAGCTAAAGCAGGTATTGCTGACACAGATGTCAACACTTTTTTTACAAATGTGATTAGTATTCATAGAAAGAGACATAATAAATCAAAATAAATTTTTGTGAGTTTTAAGCTACATTTTTGTAAATGCAACTGTCATTACAAAACTAACACAACTTACCAGCTTTTGGCCCTGTAGCTTTAAATGTAGGCCCGGCCGGGACTCCCGAGAGACTTTCTGAAACAGACATGATATAACATAGAAAAATATTACAAAGATTTATTAGCGGGGATCGGATTTTTCAGTAAAAACTTTTACACGTTATTCCTTGATCTTCGCACTGTTTTTGCGGCAAAACTCACAGATAAAGTTCTTGTTTCAGATTACACACACCTTTTGTTCATACACCACTAAACACGTCTTTGCTACTTAAGATGTAAAGTTCTTTAGGAAATTTCGCAATCGTGTTGGAGAAAACGTTTGATAACAACAAGTAAAAACAGATTTAAACACTTCGGTCTGTTGCCAAAAACGAGCACTTGAATACAAATGAAACAATCGTTGATTCTAGATAATGTTATGGTATGTCCATAAATTCTGAATAAGATGTAACTTCCTTCTACCAGTAGTATTTCCAAAATCTGACCCAGTAACGACACTGAACTGTTTGAGAACTATACAGTCTAAGCAGGAGGTTTCGATCGCGAGTATACAAACCCACGAGTCATCAGCTAAATTTAACACGAGTTCCTGTTCACTGTTTCCCTTGACTTTAAAGCCTGCGCGTGCTCTAGCACTCATCATATACACTGCTTACTTCCACATAGTTCACTCTCTCTTTCCCTGTTTCTCCTTAGAAAAAAAAAGAAGAACTAAAACCATAACTGGTCTCTAACAAATTTTTATACCTGAGCGGCAAAGCCCGGAACTGAGATACAGGCCGGATATAGTGTGGTTGAACAGGAAAAAAAAAGATCTCTAAGTATAGAAATACATTTTTTATACGAAATGAACTGGTGCTCGAATGGTCATAAAAATACATTAACGAGGAAGCGGTGGTTTTATAAAAATGTTTTACATCCTTGGAGACAAAAGGGATAGTTTCATTGTAAAAATTCTACTGCCCCATATCATAATAGTGTAAATACTAATATAAATTGGTTCTGCTATTGTGTATAGGGGTTTGGATAAGCACAAAACTGAGTTCTGATGCGTGTACGCACTAGAACGTGATGATACATAATAGCAGAAACACTAAACAGTTCACCTTAAAGTAACCTGAGTAACTAAGAGATTTGTATTAAAACAAACGTTATTTTCAACACTCACCCGTGAATGACACGTGCATGAATTTTGAGTGTAATTAAACTTGTAATGTTGTATAGAAGTTCATATCAATGTAAAATATATTGCTTTTAATAAAATTATGTATGAGTTTTGTTTACCTTTCAAAACTTCTACTACAAAGTTGTTAAGATTTAGACTTATGAAGGCACACATATTATTTTCGTTAGCGGTAGCAGAATAGGTTATAATGGTCGTCACTGATGTTTGACAAAGCTTTATTATATGTTTAAAATATTTATTAGTAATTGTGTTGTGGACCAATTCTGACACCACTTCGTTGTAGATCGCCTTGTATCCACTTTGTTACTATCGTGATATATTTACACTTCGCTTTATCTTCAATTTCATTAAGACTTTACTGATTCCTATAAGGAATTGACTCATACTAATATACATAACAAATTTCTGTTTATTGCTATATATATATAATCAACAACACATAGATTTATAACTAGGTTATGTTTTTTTACTGGAGGAATATTACTTCTTCCTATGCCTTTCTCTCTCGGGACCCCAATGGCACAGCGGTATGTCTGCGGAATTACAACGCTAGAAACCGGGTTTCGATACCCGTGGTGAGCAGAGCACAGATAGCCCATTGTGTAGCTTTGTGATCAATTCCAAACAAACAAACAAACCTCTCTCACTCTCTCGGTTTATTCCGTCTCTCTCACATATCTTGGCCCCTCAGTGGCACAGCGGCATGTCTGCAAACTTACAGCGCTAGAAACCGGGTTTCGATACCCGTGGTGGGAAGAGCACAGATAGCCCATCGTGTAGCTTTGTGCTTAACTTCAAACAAACAAACACATCTGATCTTTTTTTATTCTCTCAACGCCTGTCTGTTAGATCATTTTTTTTTCAAAAACTACGCCAACAGGCCCTTTTATTTTATGGCCTTACGCCTGTTTTTCGTAATTAGGATTATAAGCTTCATAATCACAGGGATTTTTGTAACTTCCAAATCCTGCTGAACTTAGAAAGACGGCCGCTCCCTCTAATCATTTCCCGACGAGTTAGAGTGCTTTAATCCTCTAATCCCTTGGGGACTGACCATAAGCCGGCCGCTTGTTCATCTCGTTCAACCCCAATCGAGGCTCCTTACACCTAACTTCATAACACAGCGTATGGTTACAACACAAATACACGTGCAGATCGCAAGCACACTTCAAAGCGTTTTTCAAAACCTCTGTTAAAACGCTAAATCACGCTTGAAATTTCGCTGCCTGTAGGTTTGTACTTCCAAGAATTTGATACAAACGTTCATTTGTATTCTCTGAAATTATTTGAAGAAATAACAAACAATTTTTAAACGTTTGTTTGTTTGTTTGTAGTTAAGCACAAAACTACACAAAGGGCTATCTGTGCTCTGCCCATCACGGGTATCGAAACCCGGTTTCTAGCGTTGTAAGTCCGCAGACATACCGCTGTGCCACTGGGGGGGGGGGGGCATTTTTAAACGATACTGATAGGAATAATTATAGAAGAGGGGTAAAATAATTTTTAATTACACTTAATCATATATTAGTGACGTTCTATATGTTGCAGTTTATATTTAGGGTGACCATACAAACCATAAAACCGGGATAGGCCCAGATTTTTAGATCTTAAAAAAATCTTTTAGGAAAAAATTATAAACAATCAATTATGCAAGTGATAAATATCATCAAGTGAAAAATATATTTTTTACTTAACTTATCGCCGCCACAGATACCTCTCTGATGAGTAAATTTTTTGGTGGCAAAATCTTGTTAACTAGAAATTTGTCCTAAAATTCCGAACAATTGTCATTCATGTTCACCTTTGAGTTAACGTTAAATAAATGCTTCACGACTTGAAAATCGAACATCGGTTGTGAACAGCACTTACCATTTGCAATAAACAGATTCTCTTTGTTTTGGCGGATGGAAAATCACGTGCTCGATGATGTATGCAATAGTGTCCACTGCTGCAGCCTGCCTTATAGCCAACTTCAGAAGCAGCAGCAAGTACAAAAAAGTGAAAGTTTTTATTGACAAAAATTAAAACCGGGACATTTTGGTGTCCTCAAATTACCTATGGGAACACTGGGACAGCATTCCAAAATTTTGGACGGTCCTGGCCAAACCAGGACGTCTGTTCACCATTTTTATACTTTAGTTATGGTAATAACAGCAAATGTATATACAATTTTTGAATTTTTTTTCTCTTTCATTTGAAATTATTTTGCTCTATATTCTTTATGGATATAGCGTAACGTCATGAATAGTTCTTGGGGCAAATAACACAGGCCTGCGAATTTAAAGTTCATAAAAGTTGTTTTGGTTTTAATAACGGATTTTCCATAATTCAGCTACGCAGATTTCGAATATAATATTCTTTCTTTTACTATCACGTAAAGATTTTTTTTACAAATCAGGAAGAAGAAAAAAGCTCTTACTTAGATCAAATTATTATTTCGTTTACCACAATGAAAATTTTTTATTATTATGTTTATTTCTCGTGGGTTCTAGAACGATCGATAAGATTTTCACGTCGCGATTGGTCTAGAGAAATCTATAGCCAGTGGTGGTTAGCGTTTTATGCATAACAAAATATGATCCGATTTCAATGAAAATGATTCAATTATGTAAAAGAACATATGACATTTAGTGAAAAATCTGTACATGATGGAGAAAAATTGATATTATTTTCGGATTCAGCGTACAGGAATTACTGTACAATATGTGAATATTTCAAGACAATCAAAACATCGCAGGCCTATGTAATTAGTCGAACTAACTAAGATGTTTTGCTTTATAACCTCATTTATTTATTGCACGTACAACTGATTTTGCTTTGATACGTTTATTATTATTGCATTCTGTTTATTTGTTGAATTTCGCGCAAAGCTACACGAGGACTATCTGCGCTATCCATCCCTAATTTAGGAGTGAAGCAGCAAGTCAATATCACCACCGTCATAATATAACGCCCCCCATGTTCGCGAGCATGTTCGGTGACGTGATTCGCCCCAAGACCCTCAATTAGCGAGTTGAGTGCCTGAATTCTGAATTTTTCTGATTTAGAATGCATAGCTAGGACTTTAACATATAAAATTAAATTTACAAACGAATTATGTGTTTGTGCATATATTCTCGGGCATATAAATATACTTATAACACTCAATAGACAAGCTATCCTTTTTTAGAGCTTTGTGTGATGTGTGTTGAAATCTGTTTAGTAAAAATTTTGATCCACAACAGAAACTCGCCTGGCTAATGCTCATCTACGTAGTTGAAAAGTATCCGTTCTCCATAGAAGTAACATAAAAAACAACCTAGAACTAGGTGGAGGTAGAGCACGTGAGAACATGTCAACTTGACAAAAGATATAAACAACAAAAACCTGATGTATTTCCGTGACATTTTATGATTTCTCCAATGAATGCCTTTCCTAAACCTTTTCCTGCTGCCCTACGAGTGCTCATCACTGACTTACATCCCGTTATCGGACTGTTTTCTATTGTAGATGGCCAACCACGGAAGCACTGTCTTTGTTAGGCACTTCCGCGCAATTCATTAAGTGTCGCTAAACCTAACAGTCAATAATCATACACGTATATCCGCTTCATTATTGCCCATTAAAGAGTTCTGAAACTTATCTTGTCCAAATATCATACATACAACAACCCAAAACGTGACCTTCAACTAAAAACATGTGGATATTTGAGTATACTGCTTCGTGCATAAACTTTGATGTAATGTTATTTTTGCATAATAAATTGATAAATATGCATGGACAGGGTATGACACTGTGGTTATACTTCAAGTCTATAAGGTAATTACTTTGAGACAGGGTATTACACTGTGATTATACTTCAAGCCTATAAGGTAATTACTTTGAGACAGGGTATTACACTGTGATTATACTTCAAGCCTATAAGGTAATTACTTTGAGGCAGGGTATCACACTATGGTTATACCTAATTTAAGTCTGAACATTACATAACTTACATTTACACGGATATTTGGGTTATATTAACACTTGTTCGTCATTGCTGATGACTAAAGCTAATTATAATATGCTTTGAGTGTACTGGTGAACAATCACGCAATTGTTTGAAAACAATTTGTAGCTTTATCAAAAGAAAACTGTACGATCATTCCGCTGATGGTCATACAGTTTGTATATAATTAAAAAGAAACGTATGCTTGCTCCATATCAAGGGATTGGACATCCTCAAAATATAATTAGCGTCATGACTCCTTCAGGGCAATGACTTGATATGTGGTCTACAAACTTATGGATCTGAAGAAAACCAAATCGTTTTCATCTCGAAGGGTTACATGTTTTATCAAAGTAATTACCTTATAGGCTTGAAGTATAATCACAGTGTAATACCCTGTCTCAAAGTAATTACCTTATAGGCTTGAAGTTGGACGAGTATCAACGTTAAATAAAACACAATTTGTGTGTGTGGTATAAACGTTAAAATTTTCCTGCTTCTGTCTTAATATATCTAGTATTAACTTTTACATTGATGAACTATTTAAAGGTCCTATTGTGGTACTATTAGACACACTTATTTATATTTGTTCTAATAATTCTTATCTAACACATTTTGAAGTTTATTAGTGTGAACTGAATAAAAAAAATAAGCTAAAATACGTTTAATTCATTTTTTTTCTTCACTGAGAACTGATGAATGTTCATTATTTCTTACTATCACACTTCACTGGTCATTTTCTTCCTGTTCTTATCTCACTAACTTCTTTGTATTACAATTCAGCCTTAACTAAAATATTTGTGTAAGTTTCTGAATTTCGTGCAAAGCTACATAACTGCTATCTGCGCAGCTTCTCAACAACATCTACCACTAGCTGTTGTGCTGTTTTAATCGAATAAAGGTATATGATCATAATTCTTATAGCGCACCCACAGCCCCAAAGTTGAGGAGCACATTGTTGTGACAACTGGCTGCAAACCGTGCATCCTTGGAATTTGATCATAATTCTTATAGCGCACCCACAGCCCCAAAGTTAGGAGCACATTGTTGTGACAACTGGCCGCAAACCGTGCATCCTTGGAATTTGCTTACAGTTCTTATAGCGCACCCACAGCCCCAAAGTTAGGAGCACATTGTTGTGACAACTGGCCGCTAATCGTGCATCCTCGGATGCACAATCCGAGTACGCTAACCACTAATTCACGCCCTTGCCAAATACACAGATGAAGTTCCGTGACTGTGTAATGTTATTATTTTTTATTTTTTTTATAAGGCTCTATAATTAAGGTAACTTCATCAATATTGTTTGGAAATTGATTGGGGGTCGAGAGAGGTGGCGTTTGGTCATTCCCTAGGGGTATGAAAAAAGACCCAAACTTTCTGTGTATAAATGTAGCGGTTGAAAAACACTAAATATAATTAAGTAGGAACCTTGCATCATTTTTTTTAAGCTGGCTAACAGGTGGACCGTGAATATTAACACCTTTCAAACGATCATCATTAAAACTTATTTAAACTAGCTCAAGTAATATGTTCACATAATAAGCATTACCTTTCCGGCTTGCACTAGTAATCGTAATGTTCATAGGTGTGTAGTTCCCGGTGGTAGCAGCCGGATGGGACAGGATGCGCTCCTCCATGTTTCCTGTTTTTTGTGACCAAATAAACAAACGTCCACAAAAATCTTGACGTATTTGCTCGAGAAACAAGCAAAGTAGCTGTATATTTTAAATCAATGACACTGAGTTACATGTAAATATAAACGTAATTTAAAACATTCCAGCTGAAAAAAAAAGATTAAATAGAATATTAAGCGAATTACAGCTCATTTTACTACTGTAAACATATAGCAGAGCTAGTGATGGTCAAGCATGACGGACATGACCTAACAGTTTGCGTAGCGGGCTGCAGAATGGAAGGTCCAAGATTTGAGCCATGATATGTTACAAAACACGCTCCGCACTATCAGTTGTAGAGGTGTTTTAACAGTGATGGTCAATCCCACAATTCGCTTAAAAGTAATCGAATAAATAATGGTCGCTGCTCATTGGTTCCCTCCTCTTGGTCAGTAGTTCTAAATTAAGGATGCTATACCTGAACCTTATAAGTGTCTCTTATCTGAACATTTAATTCATGTGTCACATAAGGTACAGTTCAGGTTGAAAATACCAAATACCGAGATTATTCAGCTCGTAACAAATCTGGGTGTCACAGATGTCCTTTGCGCAGTACGAAAGAGAGTTTATTAGTATTCTAATTTAAATATGAATTATTCAAGTAACGAATGTTATACAAAGAAATTTTTTTTCTGTAAGAAATACGAAATACCATAGCTACTTTATCAATGACAAATAAAAGAAAAATAAATAATTTTCAATACTTTCTTGTTATTATGGGAGACTAAAAAGCGAAACACGTACAATGATGTGAAATACGTGCTGGATATAAAATGACGGATTTATCAGTGTCTAGCTTAAGTACCACACTACTGAAGTGACTTAATACTAAGAATAACATATTCGGTAATCAACTTCGAAAACATCCAAACTCCAATTCCTAGAACATTTCATAGTTTCACAGTCTTCCATTTCTTTGTCAAAATATTTTTTCTGGTTGTAAACCAATGAAAAATATTTGTAACTTTTAGTATAATATAAAATGTTTTGTAAATAAGTTACTTATGAATAATATTGAATAAAATAAAATAATCACTTTTAGTACTTTCTTCAATTACTTACATCTTTGAAATTGCTGCAGATTGAAAATTAAAATTTAATAGGTTAACACAGAGAATGTTTTCACTTTCTTTGCGCACAAGGAAATATATACAGGTGAGTTACTTGTTTGTGGAATTGTTTTAACAGTCGTGTTTTCATTTCTTGAATATGTGAAAGCAAAGGGTCAGTCCTGAAGGAACTACACTATATCATCTTAAGGCCCTGTATGGTCAGGTGGTTAGGGCGCTCCACTCGCAATCTGTGAGTCGCGAGTTCGAATCCCCGTCACACCAAACATGCTCGCCCTTTCAGCCGTGGGGGCGTTATAATGTGACGGTCAATCCCACTATTCGTTGGTAAAAGAGTAGCCCAAGAGTTGGCGGTGGGTGGTGATGGCTAGCTGCCGTCCCTCTAGTCTTACACTGCTAAATTAGGGACGGCTAGCGCAGATAGCCCTCGTGTAGCTTTGCACGAAATCCAAAACAAACAAACAATATCATCTTAACTTGCCTATTCAAGCTATGGTGTTTGGAGGGAAAAACTTTGGTTCACAGATGGCACTATTAGTCGAGGTGATTACTTAGTCACGTATAATGTTTAACTTATTATAAGGTCCCTTATTAACTATTAGTAATGTTTACTAGATTATAAACATTTTTGTCATTTGACGACGTTCACTAGAGATACTAATAAAGTAGATATTGGTAAATATTTTTACTGTGGTTATCATCGCCACAGGTTACAGTAGTTTAACTTACATTAAAGATAACATCCGATTTTACGTTTGTGAATCACATTCGTCCGTGATTTTTTTTATATAGTTTAAAGAAAGACTCGTATGAAACATATGAAGTGGACTATGAAATGCTTATGTAAGAACTGCGAGCGTGTCAATATGATAAACTGTTCTACAACACAAGTAGCAAAAGACATGAACACTCAAGAATTTGGGTAAGTTGAAATCTAAACCAAGTTGTCATTATAAATTACTGGTTGAAAGATAAACCACTTTGAAAATAAAATAAAATAATCATAGATGAATAAATAAGTTAAAAAAGGTCCAAAAAAAACTTAATCACTTTTGAACAATGAGTTATTTAACAAGAGGAAAAAAGAAAAAGGCATGATGTAATATCATTCCAAGAAAGAAATTTGAAACTTTTATATGGATAATATATCTTGAGCCTCTCACGAGAAGTCTCTCACGATCAAATTATGATATGATTGTTATATATGTTCCTTAAAATTAAAACATTTTTCCTTTCAAATTTACAACAATGATATGTTATAGTTAGTTTTTGTGGTGCATATTGGTGTATAGAAGACATATAAATGCTAGAAATAAACGACCTTATAACACCAAAATGTTGTTTTTATTTAATTAGACACTCAACGTTTCGCTTTACAGCTTCTTCAGGAGTATTCACTAAGACAGTTTGTAAGTCTACTGTACACGGGCGATCAGCATAGAAACCCGTTCTACTCGCTGCATTAAACGTCACTTTCGTTTGGCGTCGGTTTCTGGTTGTAAAAATTGAAATGGTTGCCCAACTCGAACAATTCGTCCGATTGCTTATCCATTAAAACTTAAACTTTGGGTGGTCCACCCAATTTCTCTAGCAATTGTCATCTAAATTGGTTCTGCCAGTTTCTTCAAACGAGATTGTTAAGTCAAGACGCCAGACAGACAGACAAACGAACACCACTTCTTTGAATGTATGGATAAGTAAATTATTCCGAAAGACAATATGTGTATGTTCTTCTCTTGGTACACAGCGATAACAAAAAAGAAAGATAACATCTTATCAAAAACCATTTAAAGACGTGATAAGAGCACGGATAGTATTTTTTATGTCTTGTGATGCGCTCTGAAACACCGGTGACTCATAACAGTTGCTATTACCAATAATAAACATTAATACTTCGGATATTCTGAGATACTTATATAGAAAGTAAATTTTACCCACCAAAGTTATAAGTTCAGAGTTTTACCATGGAATGTGCAGGATCACCGCACGCAGTGTGAATTTAGTAAGGCTGAACTCTGCCATAAATATTACTTTTCCAATATGAACATAATGTAAGGTCAAATAAAACCAATAAATATTTTATTATTCGAACATTTTTCCAATAATTTTTCAACCATTCAAACGTACAGAAAGCTATTGTTTAAACATCTGTTAGTTCAGTTGTTGAATATAGTTCACACGCTTCATAACGCAATAAATAATGAACCGATCTAATTCACTACGCTGAGTTTAAATATTGCCGAAAATAAATCAGCTGATGAAAATCAAGTTTCAAATAATGTCCAACATAGACGTTTCAAAATGATAGTACAAAAGTAGTCCTAGCAAATAATAGATAACTTTGTTAACATAATTCCTAGGCACCCTATATACCTGTGTGTGTGTACCCTAAATAAAATATTCCAATAACATTATTTTAATACAGTATCACCTTTTAAATACAGGTGAGATATAGAATTATAGAAGAAAGAGAAAAGAAATGTACAATATTAATTTCAACAATTTCATAGCAATATCGTTTTCCTCACAAAATAAGAATGTTTAACGTTATGCTGTTTTTTCATTCCTTAAACCTTGAATATAATTACAAAAACAACAACAACAACGTATTGTTAAAATATTAGATTTTTCATAGATCCGCGTAAGAAAAGAGATGAAAGACGAAGAATCACAAGGCAATAAATATTTTCCCTTTTTTATGTTATGGAATGAATAATAAACATTTCGATTTAAAATTACAAATGAGAATTGTAAATTTGGTTTGCCTGTAAGTAATACATTTCTACTCAATTTATAATACCTACGAATATTTCACAGGGATACAATATCCCGATTATATCAAACTTCTGACACAACGAATCCAAAAGAAAGCGTGCATCACTACTTGAAGAAAACCATGTATCATTACAGTTTATTTCGGTATTTTCGTAAGTAAACAAGGGGCCCTCTTTTAGGATAGTTTTAAAACGAAACTTTCAACCGTTTCTTTATCTGAAGCAAAGCTTAGACGTAGAAATTATAAAATAAATCATAGTAGTCTACGTTACTAAATGCTTATCTTTTTAGGTAAACAAAACTCAGAGCAACTTCACGGTGAGTATAGTTGTAAAAAACAAAAAAGAACTCACTTTGATCAGCCAGCGAAGCCAGTTTTGTGGTTGTCATCGAGACCGAAGAAGGACTATGCGTTCCATTACTTCTGGTAAGGGATGGCTTAGAGGAAGTGTTTATAACAATGGTCGTCGCACAAGTTTCAGTAGAATTCGTTGATGTTGGTAAGGTGTTGGCTAAAGAAAAGTTACCCTAATTGAGTTATCATTCTTCTTATGACATATTATCATTATCAACAACACTTTTCTCTACCATTGTGAGTAATGTAAAGGTTTTTTTTTTTGAATATGCAAAACTTAATATATCACTAGCGATTTCGTAACATATTGCAAGAAATTCAACACACTAAAATAAACTACGTTCATTAATGGAAAGTAGTATTATTAAATTCCCTTTAATTTTTAATATATATTATTCATTCATATGCAATCTAAAATTTACTTTAAACTTTTGATTTTTGATAAAATTATTTTGTTGAGCTTGCATCAAAAAAAGTCCAAGTAAATATTTTTATCGTTTTCACTTATAAATATTATATATAATTTTCTGAATTTCTACAACTTCATAATTAACGAAGTTAGTTGGACTTTTAAAATACATAAAATGTTCTATTGTTCTAGAAATGCTAGGGCTTATTTCTATGACACAAGTTATCAGCAATAATGCTTAACAGTATTTTAAAACATTATTAATATTCGGAAACAATTATATCCCTTCATCTTTCCTTTCATAAATCATGTTTTGTTTTTCTGGATCTCTGCAATGCACATGCAACTATAATTTTAGGATTACTTTTCTACACAAGTAAGCACACTTTTTATGTAACTAAACCTATAAAGATAAGAAAGTTTGCCCCAAGTTTGCAGATACATACTAAAGTCATGGTAATAACATTGCTCTTCCCGTCTTCATCTGAATAATTATTTTCAAACATATAGTTATTTGGAATTATGAAAAGTAAATGTAATTACGATATTCACATGGAAAGTCACAATATAGTTCTGAATAAATTAAGTATGAAAGGCCCAAGCTGAACCATGTTACCATTATCTTTTTTTTTAATTTATTTTGTCAGTTACGGCTTGTTTAGTGTATCGATATTGGTTGTGTATAAACAAATAAAAAAATATATAGAAATTATTTATATTTTTCACGCTATATTTATAAAACATAAAATGTATGACAAGTTTGATAAGAAAAAACTTAATTGCAGATGGTAAAAAACTATAGATGCTTAGTTTGCCATAAGGAAGAATTCGAACAAGTACTTTACAGGTTTCACGATTCTTTATTATGGATAGGTTAGTACGTTATGTGTACATTTTTAGAGATAAATATAAATATGTAACAAAAACTGCAGCATACTTTAACAAAATTGAATTTTAATAAACCTTGACGACTACTAATTATATATATATATTTAAAAATTTGCGAGTTAATTCGACTCATATTCACCACTAACAAAATTCTAGTTAAAGAACTTCGAGTAATAGTGAATATTTCTTCTCAGACTTTAACTAAGACTTAGACATGAGATTAAGCAATAGGAATAGAAAGTGAGTCTTTGAAACATTGAAACACATATTACTTTGCAGGAGTTGCTAAAATAATTCCATAAGAAGCTAAAATGGTGGAAAAAAGAAAAATGCACATATATTCGTCGACGCCTTTGCAAGCGTTTGAATGATTTTCCTTGCAGCCACTTTGTTTTATTAAAATGTTTTTTTTTTATTATCGTCATATTTCTGGTTATTGCCCTTCCTTTCTTATTACTATTTAATAAACTTCTAAGTTATCAGTTTAGAATATCATATCGAAAACGTTAGTTGTATATTACAGTAAATTGTTAAACAAACTGTTTTTCTTTTAACACAAACTCTTGATAATACAGTAGATACTCTATGTTAGGATTGAGGAAGAAAAAAGATACGTTTTTAAACTATATTTTAATCATATTCATCAATAATTGTGTATAAAGTGCAGAATATTCAACAGTGGAGTAACCGAAAATTTAGTACTTTTCTAACTCTTGCACTATAGTTAAAACCGTGATTATTTCAGATTTTCGAAAAACTGATATCTATGTTTTTATGTCATATATGTTTGTTACAGACATTGCAAATACTGTCACGTTAAAAGCCATACCTTAAGAAGGATGCAGTTATAATATTCAATCGAGCTCCTTGTCTTTCCAAACCAACAACAAAGTTCGGTTTACATTCAATATTATTAACAGAGAATAATTCTGAATTTAAATATCTGTAATAATCAAAAGACAGTATAAAAATCTATATGATAATTTCTGTATGACAGTTAGAATACTATTATCGAGTCTGTACAAATACATACCTTACAAAAAAATTCTACTTTCAGTTCAGCTTGTATATCATTACTGTTTATGCAATCATTTTCCCTCTTCCATAACATAAAGCATTCTAGTAACGTATGAACCCGAGTTTGACAAGGTGGTTGATTTTCACCATAATTCTCTGTCTGTCTCCGTGACGTTTTACTCACGTGATTCGCTTCATGCATGACAATACCACACAAGTTCTATCTCTATAAATCAGCAAGCATTGTTTCACTAATTTAGAAATGAAAAAGAAGCCGCATACTAATAACATAATAATGGTCTCAAGAATCTATAGAAGTAAAATAAGTGAAACAACGCATTTTTATTTAGAATTCTTAGACGTAACTACTAGTTGCACATTCTGTTATACTGAATTTCTATTCAACGTAACGGTTTTAAGTACACGCCCAGTGTCTTTTACTTTTTGTTTACATAAGCACTAATCGAACTACAATTGAACATCAGACATTTATAGTTAGGCCTCGGTGTAATATAAGTAATAGAACTTAAATTGGCTGTATTTGCAAAACGTGAGTTATCGAATCTTTAAACATAAAAAAAAAAGAAAAACAAATTTATTGAATAAAAATCTCAAATATTTTTTTCCTGACCATTTACTTTTCAGTAGATAAATGATATCTAATATAATCGCGTTAATGTTAAACTTTTAGTGTTGGGTCTATAGCATGGTTCTATGCGTTTAGTTTACACATTTGACATCACTAAGTCTACTGGTAATTTAAAATAGAAAAGAAGTGTGCCTTAAGTTATTGGTGAGTATCATATGAGTGAAACTGATGTTTTACTTTAAGTGCGAAAACTAAAGTTCAAAGTATACAAGAGAAGAAACTTAGCATTATTATGAAATATTTACTTTAAGTCGGTGAAACCACAGTTGCTCACAAATATTTTACAAGCTTTACGTTTTGATTTCTACAGCAACGCCCTCCCCCCCCAAATGGCACAGCGGTATGTCTGCGGTCTTACAACGCTAGAAACCGGGTTTCGATACCCGTGGTGGGCAGAGCAAAGATATCCCATTGTATAGCTTTGCGCTTAACTACAAACAACCAACCTCTGCAGCAACAATAAATAACAAGGTTTGCCCTCTAGTGAGAGAATATAATATTAAATGAAGGGAAATATACAAATGCATATGGCGATAGCAATTAAATAGTTATTTAGATCTAATTAAATAGAAAAACTAATTCTAACGCACTGTTTTTATCAATTCCAAATCTTATTACGTTATAATTCAATTTATTTCATACCTTATAGGCTACCATTCATAGCTACACAAACAACGATGCCGATACGCTTGCCTATAATAATTATATTTTCTGTAGCACATCTGTAGTTTACAGAAGGAATTTACCTTAAAGTACTTTATAAGTTATAAATTAATCAGTGAATTTCAGAAAATATAAGGCTGTTATTTATATATATATGTGTGTGTGTGTGTGTTTGTATGCATACCGATTTGGGCATTTATTTTCATTTTCACACCAGCAACAAGTACGTAACAAGGTTTTTCCACTGAGAATCGTAGTGTCATTATTCTGATGTGAAAGCACATGTAATTATAAAAACAAACGTAGCATACTAACTAACACTGAAATAAAATGTGAGTCTCTAAACAGGCATAAATAATCCATTAACGATAACTTTCCTTTCTTTCTTTCTATTTGCAGGTATTTGTTTATTTATTTTCCGTTTTTTCCATTATGTTTATTTTTATACGTATATATAAATCGTTTTTTCTGCGTAATAATTTAATTTCTACATGCATCGCCTATAATTCATTCTTATTTATTTTATAAGGAACTATTTTTTTTACGCCTGATATTTGCTTACCTGTGATATGTGTAGCTTTGCTTTCGTCGTTTACTTCAATCGTTGTGCTTGATTTAAACATACCTTTGGCTGGAAAGTTTTCTTCTCTGCAAATAAACGTATAATAAATGTTATTCATCTTAATAGGATAAACATAAACTGCATCAACTTGTCTTGTTCTTTTTTGTTGTTGTTACTTCAAATACGCCATATACATACCACGTAAAACAACAAATATTACTAGCTACATCAGTTATTAAAATAATAGCTGAAATAATAAAAATTAAAAATGGCTCGAAAAGTTAACTTGGCATCGTAATATAAAACTTTCATCACATTTACAAATAGTGCTTTTTTTTTTCTATGAAATAACTATAGTGTTTCTGTCAAAGCTAAAACATTGTTCTTGATAAGTTATTTTATACTTACTTGCGCAGTAAAACTATGTTTTAATGATATATATTATATTTCTATTTTGATATAAACCTAACGGAATTTAAATATCAAACACGATATCAGTAGCATCTATAAAATATAGGAGCTATTAACCTCGTATCTGCATAAAGAAATATCTGCTGTATACTTTATTTTTAATTATTTCTTTATTTTTCCGTACCTGAATTAGACTCAAACATTCAACGGTTTATGTTCTCTAACAAACCATTGCGAAATAAAATGTTTTTTTTTTGTTGTTGTTGTTTTTTCTTGCTGTCGAAGGAATATTTAAAATCAGAAGATTGCCGTATTTTAGCTATAGGCTAGAAATTATTTTTTTTTCTGATAAAAATGTTTTTACGTTAGTATCTAAATAAATAGGAAGCTAAATTTGTCCGATCCTGTAAAAGAATGCTTGGATTTTTTTTTAAGATATAACTCATTTTATTATTCTTTCTCCATTGCAATAAATACTTTATTTTTTAATTTATTCATTATCATCGTTAAACTTACAAAACCTCTTCTGCTGTTCCTGAAAGAGGTTTTGTATTCTGGCAGTACTCAGACTTTACAATATTCCTCACAGACAGGCTCAGATTTCACCCTCTTAACTTCACGAAAATGAAAGAACAAAAGTTACATTGATGTAAAGCGAGTAATATTTATTTCAACCTCAGCATCATCTAGCACAAAATCTTTTGTAACCAAGATGAAATAATACACTCTACACCCAATATCTCGACAGAAATCACAAAAAAGCAACATTTTCAAATATAAACGTATAACTACTGTAGAATGAAAACAAAATTTTCTGGCTTACAGCCCTTTGTTGTTTGTTACTCTGTTTGCACAATAATTCAACATCAGTAACAGTACTATCTCCAGCCTTAGCATTGTCTTTCACATTTTCTGGAAAAGGAATGTGTGTATGTGTGTGTCCCCCAGAAAGGTTGATACTCAAGATCACAGTCAAGGCCATACTACTTGGTAGAGGAACGTGCCACCAAACTTGGAGTAGAGTGTCCTGAATACATGATATTCGGAACGATTAAGTTGCATTTTTAATTGGAGATGAAAGTCTTGGATCGTGAAAATGATGCCGTTGTTCTTAACTAACTTTATTCAAATATAACATAGACTTGTTTCTGGTTCATAGCTTCATAATGTAATAATGAAGATAGCTATTAAGAATTTCCGCATTTACTTTTTGAAATTGCTTTAAGATGTTTTTGTAATTGAAGTTTATCTAAAAACAGAGAAAATATAGCTAAAGTGTTAATACATCTGAATGAACTTAGAATAAATATAATGGTGATATATCATTATATCCTGTTCTGAAGGGTTACTTTAAACCTTTTTAAAAATATACACATAATATATTTACAATAAGAAATATCTGAAAATTTTCTTTCAGTTTTTCACAATCTCAAACAATCTTACATTGTCATTTATACAAAGGGTTAATAGACTTAAATAAGGACGAACTGCATATGCTAATGCAATAGCGTGTCACACGTCGACATGTTTTAGCACCTATTTAGCATCAATCACAGTAAACTTCCGATCATTCGGCAGTGCAATGCCATCACGGAATAGCTTATGACTGGATATTGTGTGACTGCTCTTTACGAAGAAAAAATATTCACACAGCAATTATATGCTGTAGAGCCGAAGTTCACAACATTGTGAGTAAGTGAGCCTTCAATGTTCTCCAAGAAAGTGGAAACCTCGCACATCAAAGCATTTTGGACACCACAATGGACCCTGAAACCACACACCAAGTCAATCAGGAGCAACGCCTTCGTTCTCAAAGATTGGTTACGAAAGAGAATCATTCATCCCAAAAACAATTGCAGTAAAAACTGAGAAGGATTTAAAGTTGATGAAGACTTACAAGTTGCCAACCACGCCTTAAAAACAGTTGTTGTTTTCATCATAGATATGGTCCAACCACATACCTTTCAAGCATCCTGATGAAACTCGATGGATTTTTCTTTTTGTTCTATTTAAATGTGCTCTTGGAAGTCGATGCCCAGAAAATGCGTTGTCGGACAGTGGTGAGTAACTAAGACTATACGAATGAGCACGATTGAAAATGACCAAAGTGCATGGTGACTGAAGGAAGAATATCATATCTAAAATGATAATATATAAAAATCTACCTATTCTAAGTGAGCAAAATTACTCCACAAATCCTAATTTTTGATATCATACAGAGTCTTATTGTCCTCAATGTGATTTTGGTAACAGTTAGTTCTCCCAGATTCTATCATTTTAAATATAAAGATTTCTTTATAACGAACCACTGTATAGCTCTAAGGACAACAGGAGACTTGATACGTTGTTCATATAAGGCGCAATTAACCCTCACTATATGTAAATATGTACGGGTAACACTTTTTCCTGAAAACGATTAGAAAATTTTACCGCTTAGGAATTATATTTTTATTACACGTCACAATTATAGCAAAATGGAAGAAAGCGTAGTTCAATAGCAGCTATTCCTGAATACTTAAGTTTTTAACTGTCTTATTACTGAATTTATATTTTGATCGTCTTATGTCGATATTAATCCCCCACAAAGCAACAAATGAACAAAAAAAAACAGGCTATCATAAAATACATAAATGTTTTAATCTTTCAGAGCTGACCCCAGTGATTCAACGGTAAGTCTGAGGGTTTATAATGCTAAAAATCAGATTTCGATACCCGCGGTTGGCGGAGCACAGATAGTTCATTGTGTAGCTTTGCGCTTAACAACAAGCAAACAAGATTTTCAGAGATTTATAAGCTATGAAAAAAAGTTAACGTACATTCATCGAAACTCTTTTCACTGTTGCTTTTAGCTTGCAGTGAATGCTTATTAGTTATAAAATATTCCACATTTCCAGTTAGCACTATAGAAAAACTAGTTATGTTAATTGGTGGCACAATCAAGCTTTGAAGTAAATTACTGTTGTAAATATAAATTATCTAGGTCCACTTTTGGTCTTACCTTCGTAAAGTTAAGTTTAAGGTATCTCCAGTAGCTTGTATTAACTGGTGTGCCTCGGTTTGAGTCAGAGAGACTACGGTTTTTCCATTAATGGCGTCTAAAACATCTCCTTCTCTAATTCCTCCTAATGCAGCTTTGCCTCCTCTTGTCAGCTGCAGATTATTAACGAAACAGTTATATCAGGTTTACAACTAACTAAAATAGAGAATACTGTAAAAAATGTTAGTGTCATTTAAATATAACTTTGTGGCCTTAGCGTTACGATTCCCTTCATAAGTAATATTATTGTATGGCAAGTGATTTATTGTTGTTTTTTTTTACTTTTAACGCTGTTTGTAATATCTCAAGTACGTTATAGTTAACAAGTTCTTATTCCTTACTTCAACAATAAAAAAATTATAACGTTTCATAAGATCTTCCTGAAAAAAATTCTTTATTATTCGATCCACAGAATTTGTAATGATCCAAGGATAATTATTATCTTCCCAAACCAATAAAACGAAGAATCAGCTTAAAACTTTTGGTTTGTTTTGAATTTTGTGCAAAGCTACACGAGGGCTATCTGCGCTAGCTTTCCTACAGGAAGGCAGCTAGTTGACACTACCCACTGCCAACTCTTGGGCTACTCTTTTATCAACGAATAGTGGGATTGACCATCACATTATAACGCCCCTACGTCTGAAAGGGCGAGCATATTTGGAATGAAGGGGAATCGAATCCCCGACCCGCAGATTGCAAGTCGAGAGTTCCAACCACCAGGCCTTAAAACATTTCAAGATAAAATACTGACTCGGATAAAGTTTCATGCGTCTGTGGATATTATGCAAATAAGAAACTTTTTATCCAGGGACTTAGGAAGGAAATCTAAAGTGGGTACGGCCCAATAAACCTTGGATATTTCCAAACAAACAACAGGACGCATTTAGTCAAATATCATGTAAACGCTGACAATGATGTTGTAAGCATTATTTATTGTTAATTTTTTGCACACTAAATCGATCAAAAAAGCGATTTGGGTCGAGACATGCCAGCTCCTACGCTTATGCTAAGCAAGAAAAATAGCTAATAGGATGTAGGACTTTATTTTGGAATAAATGACAGACTTTTTAGCCGCGGCTGAACGGCTCTGAGGTTGTTGTTTGTTTGTTTTTCAAGTACAAACTTTTAGCTCATAGCTCCGCCATCTCTTGTCCGATGTGAGATATAATTACAGTTTTGGACTCAGGAGGGTAAACCCTTTCGACTGATTTATTTGACCACGCCCAAGGTCTCATGGATTAGTTTATTCTAATCCTGCCCAAGAGTTGGCGGCGGGTGGTAATGAATAGCTGTCTTCTCGCTAATCGTTCACTGCTAAATTAGGGACGGCTAGCGCAGATAGCCTTGTGTAGCTTTGCGAAAAATTCAAAACAAACAAATCGATTTGTTTGCCCCCCAGTGGCACAGTCTTCGAACTTACAACGCTAGAAATCGGGTTTAGATACCCGTAGTGGGAAAAGCTGAGATAACCCATTGTGTAGCTTTGTGCTTAATTCCGAACAAACAAAAACCTACTTCTTTACAAGTACTTAAAAACTAATTAAACTATGTGATAAATTTGTTTGGTACAATAGTTATCGGCTAACACTTTTATTTTAAATTGTTATATTTGCCGAATAACAGAAGCATCAAACTAGAGTCGAATTTTGATTCATTGGTTTTACAAGCGGTAGGCAATTATAAGTATGCATATTGTTTCCAGCGTTATTTAAGAATATTTTCATTTTCTGCTGTATGAATATGCTGACGGTGGGACAAAGGAAAACCTTTTATGTTATACTAAAAAAAGAAAAGAAAAGGTATTGATGGTCCAAAATTTATACTCAAATAGAAATATTAAAACCAATTGAGTTAGAAAGGGGATGTAATGTGGGCATGATTACCTCACCCCGTCATTTTAAACTAATAACTTACAGCCTAGAAGTTTCCATGTGTGTGGTAGGTGCCACTAGTGCCTCCACCCCCAACGGTTTCGCCGCTTATGAAGATAGGAAAGTTATTACAGGTTTGATGAGTCAGAAGTTAAAACTGACACGAAGTGAAACATCGATGGTTTAGATATTATCGTCAGCTGGCATTTGGTGTTACTATCATGTAAATGTTAAAAATAAAAATATCACGAGAAAGGCGGTAGAGATATTTCAGATAAAAATCGAAGCAGTTAAGCATACATAACTATAAAATATCAGCAGCTAAAGAAATGCACCCCTCAAGTTTTAACCCGGTAGCAAAATGCCCCTTTGTTAACATAGCAAATAAGGTGCCCACAAACGTTGGTGCGTCCCCCCCCCATCGTCTATGCCCGTCTTTCATTATTGTCTAAATTTGACGATAACACTTTATTTTTGTTCGAACTTGATGGAAAAACCAGTTAACCAGAAATTAATACAGCTCCCTGGTTTCTGTCTGGTGTGCAACTTCTTATTGGGAGTTTTTCTGGCGAAGAACTGCAGACATGCTGGTACGTGTTGAAAACATATTTATATTTGTTTTAAAAAGTCAGGTTTGGTTTATTCGTATACCAAAATGATGCAATCAATAACCAATTAAAAACAATGAAAAAAAGAGTTACAAATGAGGTTAAGAAATAATAACACAAGACGTAATATTTTACCACACTTAAAGTCGTTAGATCTAAACTCGGTTGGATTTTTTATACTAGTATAATTTGTCTACTGTACTACCAATACCAACTTATTAAGTTCAGCGTTTACTACTATAATGGGGCTGGAATGCCAACGTCAGTAGGTAAGGTTCCCTTACTTATCCCCCAATGGTAGGACCTTATTTAGTTTCATTATTCTTTCATTTTATATTTCTTTGGCGAGCAATCATCTTCCTACAATTGTCTGCAGACAGTAAAAGATGATACACAAGTGGAACGTTGTGAGTTTGAACCCCCACATCATGCTCTCCTAACCTATTTTTATTTTTTATTTTTCTCACTTATTTTATGTGTATTATTCTTTCTTTAACACGTGAGACTACCGAACGGAAGTTAAGACTGGTAGAGGAAGTATCCCCACCCGCTATGTGGATCATACTTCCGCAGTCACCTCTAAAATCCAGGGCATATCTTATATCTCACTTTATAGCCTGCGATCTTTTTAATATGTGCAGCGTTTTTGTTGTAGTTGTTAAGGCTTGTTTAGATAATTTATATGTTTTTTCATCACAAGTTTGGTTTTGCTGTTTCTAACGTAGTCCTTCTTTTTGATGTTAATACTTACTTAACTGTTGAAATAATGTTTTTACATACACCCATTTACCTATATATATATAACTGAATCTTTGTTTTTAGAATAATTTCTTTCAGCATATGACATGAGTCAATGCCTGTTTCATTTTGCACACGGTACACTTTCGCCTCATTCATGTGGAATGTAATCATGGTCTACTTCCCTGAGCTATTTTTGGCAATATTTATCTAAGAGGTGTAAAGCTAGTTCCCGACGGTTTAACAAGGCTTTAGGCTTTTTTAGTAAAGTTTCAAAATTACGATTCTCTAGCATACAAGTTACACAAAAAACAAAACGCCAGATGTATGGAACTATACAGGAGTTAATATATTATTCTTCTTATGACAATCAGATTAAACATTCATAACTATTCCCATTTACTGAGTTTTGTTACGAATATATAGTTTTTATGTTACAGATATAAAACTACTCGCAAGAAGAAAACATCATGTTGAAAGACACTATTCGGTGATAAAGAATTAAGTATTTAACATTAAGTTTATCAAGTAATATAACATCGTAATGTTGTTTTTCGTTAATTTTTTTCTCATTTTGATTGAGCAAAAAATGATGAAGAATCAAATTGTGGATTTCCAATTCAGAAAGGATGTTTGAAACAATGTCATTTTGAATGATAGAATGCTTTTATTTTTTCTTATACTAACTTCGCCTGCAACAGAAGATTTTGCAAATGGTATTATACTTTCCAAACCAGGTCTGAAGAATCTATATATATATATAGCCAAATGTCTGTCTGTCACGTTCTGTATATCCAGAATGGTTACTCGTAGAATAAAATATCAAAATGCTTATTTTCAAGAGTAGATTACAGGAAAATTATTCATTTTTTTTGCAATTCCTAAAATTGTACATCGATCCGTCAGTTTTCGTATGTGCTCAATGGTTAACCTAAAAAAACCTTATCAGAACAAAAATGTTTTTTTTTGTGAGGGAATTTCACGAAAAAAACGGGACTTCCTTCGTCGACTGATTGAAAGAAATACTTCGGAATGTGAACGGAAAACATGCATAAAGAGAGGAACTTGTTTGAGTATATATTTGTTGTCGTTCGGTTTTTATATATATATATATATATTTCTCATCTCGGTATTATATATATGCACGATTTTATTGTATACTATGTTGAATAAACTGATTTGAATCGAACTGAATATCTCCCCCTTTGACACTACTTATAGAAATGACAACTGTCAAAAAGTGTTTACTTCCGTAGCGACATTTCTTGCGCTCAGTAAAATGACAAGGAACGTTGGCATCCAGAGGGAAAATTCCCAGAGGCTAGTTAGCGAAGCCGAGCGCACTAATACGCTGGATGCATCCAATGCATTGAAAAATTTTGCCAAGAATGCATTGTATTCAGTCTCCTTTGCTTAAAACAAACACAACGCAATTTTCGTTATTGAAAGAACACATGGAATGACAAAAGACGGTTGTAAACTGCTCACTTCACTCTTACCCAAAGAAGTGGGTTGGCTGCATATTTTATATTTATTCATCACTATTTTTAGAAAAATTACCGTTGAATTGTTTCAATGGACATCTGCTAGTAATTTACAAAACGTTACTTAGAAGTACGGTATCAAACTGATGAGTTAATAAGATTTATTCACAAAAGTATTGTATTCTCAGATTCTGTTGTGATAAAATTTCTATTTTCACTTCTCGTGGTTAAGCTTTTCAATTAAATATCACCATCTTACACTAAAGTAAACTTTGATTTATTCAAATATGTCTTGAAGCTTGCTTTGAAAAGAAAAAGGATTCATAAATAAACAGTTAAGTTTATTTTAAAATTCTTTTTCGTGTAAAAATGGAAACATTCTACTCCACACGCATACTAATATATTTTTCGT